CTGGCGCTCCCCGCCCGAGGCTCCCTGTGCGCCGGAAGTCCTCCGTCCGGGGACCAATGTGTTAATTTTTATCTGGGGTACTTATACTACATAAATTAAATTTTTTTTGCCTGTTGATACCAATAGTTTGTTGGATGACTGTATTCTGAAACAGTTGTGTGCTTTTGAGGCAGAAATCTTAAACGTGTATGTATTTGATTTTGTTGGGAGTATAAAAAGTGACAATTTACTAAGTAAAAAAGTGTAAGATTTATTTGCAGATAACATAGTAATCCAGAAACTTTAAAATAAAACCAAAAGCTGGGCACACTGGCACATTCCTGTAATCTTGGGTACTTGGGAGGCTGAGGCAGGAGGATCAAGTCTGAGGTCAAGGTTGGCAATGTAACAGTCCTGTTTCAAAGTAAAATTAAAAGGGCTAAAGATGTAGTTAAGTGGTAGAACAGTTGCCTGCTCTGTGAGGAATCCTGGGTACAATACCCAGTACTGGGTACAATACCCAAAACAGAAACATAAAACTAATTTATCCATCTGTTAGCTGTATGTTTATATATAAATGTTGCTGAGAAAGTGATCATTCATATCTGATTTTTCTGGAGTTTCCTAATTTAATTCTTGATCTACCTTCCCTGCAGAGGGTCTGTCTAGTAAAGGGGAGTTGATAGAATAGCATGAAAATTAGAAAAAGACCTGTAAGTACGTAAATGTACATGCATGTTATTATTTTATAAATGAATAAACTAAAAAAATGTGAAAAATGTTAAATAACATGCCAAAATGTAGAAGTGGCGAAGAGCAGATTTGTCTGCACAGACGTTAGATTTTGGAAATCAGCATTTTCTGCTATTTCCCTGAAAAGTTTATTGCCACCAACTTAGCTAAAGTCATTTACTGAGAGATAGCCTTTAAAAATAGGAATCCTTTTAAAAAGTTAGAATATTATTTAGCAGTCGTCAGGAGAGACAGTTATGTGATACAGACTAAAGTACTGTGTGCTTACATTTGGAAACTGTCAGTTTATTTCACAATTCAGCCTTTTTATAACCTTTGGCAGATGAAAGGTAGTCAGTGGTAGCCTTGTGAACTTCAAGCTAGCGTAGATCATTGGTGAGTAGTGCTCTTTAGCTGACAGCCGAAAAGCTGTTAGTACTGCTATGTTCGCTGTGATGGAGAACTGAAAATTGACAGAGGAGCTAAGCTGTGGGTTGCCCGAGCTAAATGTGAGAAATAGGAAAGCTTCTGTTTCCGTTGCAGTCATTCTGGTATGTAATTTTTAAGAACCTGTGTTAGAAGTGCATAATGTCGTCGAATGCTGTTTTCCCTTTTATCAAATCATTTATCATCTTCTAAGAGTCATTTGTGCTCATGGAGTTCGCTTTCAAATTTATTTTCGTTGTTGAAAGAATAGAGCAGGAATAAATTAATTTTACAAGTGATTATATATTGTTTTGTGTATATGTTCTCTTGCTTCTTAAAATATTTATATCCTTTTTAGGCCATTCCAGTGATTAATGGAAGAGAGTTACAGAGCCCTCTGATTGTTCAACTCTGTGATCAGTGGGATAATCCAGCAGCAGTCCCTCAGGTTAAAATAAGCCTTGTCAAAGCTAGCAATTTAAAAGTAAGTTGTAAACTTCCTCAAATATTTCTTACCTAAAATACTGTATGTCAGGGTTGGGGATATAGTTCTGTGGTAGAGCATTTGCCTGGCACACACAAAGCCCTGTGTTCAGTCCCCAACAGTGCAGAAGAAAATTCAGCACTTCAGCCAGACATGATGGCACACACCTAAAATCCTAGCACTCTGGGAGGAAGAGGCAGGAGGATACTGCCTGGGCAATTTAGTGACTTTACAAGACCTTGTCTCACACTAAAGATACACCTGGGGTATAATTCAGTGTGAAGGCCCTGAGTTCAGTCCCTAGTACCAGGGGGAAAATCTGTACCTCATTCTCAGGATAATATCTTTATGCATCACATTTTATTTCTTTTTAAAATGTAGTCTCATTAAACCCTTACAACTGTTTAGTATAAATCAAATTAAGGATCCTTTTTTAAAACATTTTTTGAGGAAATAAAGTTTGTATCTTACAAACAGCGTATTTGTGAGATACAAACAGCGTAACAAGGCCAACATTTTACAGTTATGGTAGTTTGACTATTTATTTTATAGAACTAGTAACACTTACATTCCAGGTTAGGATGGATAGTTAATTCCTTTTTGTAAAAAAAAGGTGAATGAGCTGGGGCTATAGCTGAGCGGCACAAGCACCTGCCTGGCAAGTGCGAGGCCCTGAGTTCAAATCCCAGTACCCCAAGAAAAATACAGTCCTAAAAAAAGATGAATGAAGGCAAATAGCACAGTGGCCTGCATTGTAGGTTAAGGAATAGGCATTTTGGAGGAAACATAATGTAAGGAGGCCAACCACAAAAGAGGCATGGCGGGGGACTGTCTCGGTGTAATGATGGGACGGTGGAGCCTGGGCAGGGCCCTTACCTGCCAGTCCAGCTACTCATTCCCTCCCCCGCCGGTGCGCTCTCTGTCTCAGTATATGCCACTGTTGGTTCTGCTGTATGTTCTCTTAACGGGGATGCTGGAGAGTTTAGGGGAGACTCTTGACTTGCTGTGACTGCGGGCTACTAATTCACTTGTGTTTTAAATGTTTACTTACGGAAGGATAGTTTTAGTTTTTTCTTTCTCCCTCCCTCCCTCCCTCTCTCTCTCCTTTCTTTCTTTCCTTTTTCCTTTTCTTTCCTTCCTTCTTTCCTTCCTTCCTTCTTTCCTTCCTTCCTTCCTTCCGTTTCTAAGGAAGCATCCATAAAAGCCTCTACCTCTTACTAGGAAATGTGGCCACTGGTTGTTAACCACTTGAAAGTAGAAGCTGGGTGGTCGATGTGAATGTCGTGTGGCAGCAGAAATTTAAGCAGCATGCTTAAGTGAACCGTGAAGGGTGCAGAACCAAGATAGCGTCGTGGTGCTGGACTTGAGATCAGTGCTGTTGTCCACAACCGCACCCTCACCTTGCTCTAGCAGTGGTACTACACAGTGAACCTGCAATTCTGTATCCTCATCACTTTTAACACGAAATTCTAGTCTGCTTGACAAGAACGAGTGGTTACTGTCTTTGGAGTATGTGACTGCGTATGGCATTATTTCCACTAGTTTCTGATGTGAAAGTTTTAGATTTTATAAGTATGTGCAAAATAATTTTAAAAATAGGAATAAACAATTGATCTCTGGAATTTTCTAATTAACCAATTTGTTTTGTTCCATTTTTAGCTCATGCCTTCAAACCAACAGCATAAAACAGATGAGAAGGGCAGGGCTGATTTGGGAGTGTTCATTGTTTCTGCCCCTAGGTAAGATTGGGAAATTGGATAGATAGATCTCAGCTTCTGGAGATTGATGTTTCTTGTTACATGCTGAAGTTAAGAGTACATAGTAACTACTTTTCTTTGCAGAGTTAAGCAAAAGTAGAAGCAGAATAGGAGGTAAAAGTTTCCCTGAAGGAGTCAGACTTTGTGTAAATTGTATCCAGAGTCCTAGATTCTAACTAATGTAAAGTAAGCCCCCACCCTTTTTTTGTTCTTGTTTTGTTAGGGGAGAACACACCATGCAGGTTAAAGCCATCTTCAACAAGAGCACCATAGAAGGACCTGTAATCAAGTTAATGATTCTTCCGGATCCTGAAAAACCCATCCGTCTCAATGTAAAATATGACAAAGATGCTTCCTTTTCAGCAGGAGGTATTTTCACTGGTGAGTATTGGACAGTATTTAAATAAATCTTTAACAATAAATTACCTTGTTAAAACAGTGGTATAAGTTATTTACGTTTCATGTTCAACACAACCTTTTTTTCCCTCTTTTTTGAAACAGGGTCTTGTTATGTACTTCAGACTGGCCTTGAGCTCACTTTGTAGACCAGGCTGGTCTCAAACTTGCAATGATGCTCCTACCTCAGCCTCCCAAGTACTGGGATTATAGGCATGCACCACCATGCCTAACTATAATATTGTGCTCTTTTTTTTTTTTTTTTTTTTTTGGTATCAAGAATCTAACTCAAGACCTTGTGCTTGCCAGACAGGCACTGTGCCGCTGAACTATATCCATGGCCCTTCAACACAATGTTTGAAAAGGCATGGCATTGCCTTTTGGATGGCAGAGAAAACACATATGCCTTAGCAGTGTCTACTTCCATCTCTTTGTCCTGGAGTCTTGTAATGTTAAGAATAATCTAGAAGTTCATGTATAAATTGGCACCCTGAGGTCATTAAATTAGTTGAGGTGATGTTTGTACATTCACTAAATTGTGAAGTTCTGTAAAAGAAATATGAACTAAATGATAAGATTTGTGAAGTTATGCTTGGCTAAACATGTGCTGTTACCTTAGACCCATCAGAACTGGAACCATTTTTCTAATTTGGATGGAAATACATCTTGTCAGGACTGTTTTGTTTTTGTTTTTGTTTTTGTTTTTCTTTCTTTCTTTTTATTTATTTATTTATGTATGTGTTTATGTACTTATTTATTTATTTATTTTTGTCTTTTTGCGACAGGTTCTCACTATGCAGTTCAGGCTGGCCTTGAGCTCACTTTGTAGCCTAGGCTGGTTTTGAACTTGTAACGATCCTCCTGCCTCAGCCTCCCAAGTGCTGGGATTATAGGCATGCGTCACCATGCCCAGCCATCTATGAGGATTTATGATTAAGATCAGAACAGCACACATTTACTTACTATGTACTATCTTGAGCTTTTAGTTATAGTCGTAAATATTACAATTTTCAGTGAATGTAGTATCATAGGAGACAATTGTTTAAGCAAGTGATTTAATGTAGTATGACTGTTGCTAAATCAGTAGGAAACTAGTATTTGCTTTATATAGGTAATTTTATGGAACACTTCTGTTTTATTGAAGGGACGAATGCCTATATGTAGTTATAAAGTAGTGAAAGAAACATACCCAAAATTTTAGATAAATTTTTAACAGTAATTTTTAATAATTAAATTACACATACACATAGCCTTTTATACTTTTATGAATTCTGTTTTAAATCTGTTCAGGAGAAACAAGGCATATTTTGCTTTAAAAAAAGGTGCCAAACAAATGTTACAGGTGGCAATTATGAGAATATTGTGTATGATGAGACTTTATCCCTGTACACTGTTGAAAATCATAAAAGAATCATAAACCATAAATTCCTGTTCTAGGAATATGTAAAGCATATGATACTGTAGCCAGCTGACCTAGGTCTGAGTTGCTGAGCAGACAGTCCAGCCATGTTGGTCTTCTGTGCTAGAATTCGTAGCATGGCAGACCATGAAAATAAGACAAGGAGAACTAGCTGTCCAGATTGTAGTGCTAGAGAATTGTGCGTCATGATTAGTAAGTTTGAGGTACATGTTGTATGTTTGCCATGACAGATTTTATGGTTAGTGTTATTTCTGAAGATGAGAGCATCATTAAGAATATTAGTCCAGCACGTATTTCCATGAAAATGTGGAAGCTGTCCAACAATGTGAACCGACCACCAGCAAATGTGAGTAGTGGGAGCATTTTTAGAAGTCAAAAATAGCTTACGTTTAACATAGAATTAAATCTAATTCAGGTAAAAATGCAGTATCTATATGTTTGAAAACTGGAGTTTAATTTGGGCCACTCCTTGGGATTTAAAAAAAAAAGAAGAAAAGAAAAAGTTAAGTATCAGCACTGTTGCTTTGGTTTGGTTCGATTCAGTTCAGTTCAGTCTCATCCTGTCTTGCTTTGCTGAGACGAAGTCTCACTATGTTACCTAGACTTGGGCTCAAACTTGTAATCCTCCTCCTCATACGTGCCCAGCTTTTTGATGGTATTGCAGAAAAAGTAGCCTACACTGTTTCATTGTTGTCTTTTGTCTAAGGCAATAACACAAAGCAAAAACCATTAAGTAGGACCAACAAGTAATGTAGGAAAGGAAAGGAAAGAGATGTTCATAAACTGCAGGGTAGGAATGATGGAGTGCAGAAACAGTTTGAAGGCCTGGAACCATGGCTGTCTAGTGGAGACATCACAACTGAGGTTTACACTTTCTAACAGCCACGTTAAAAAAGATACAAAATAGATAAAATTAGTTTTAATATTTTTAATCTAATGTATCAAAAGTTAGCATTTCAACATATACTCAGTATTTTTAAATATTAATCAGATTTTGCATTCTTTTCCCATCTCCTCAAAATTTACCATATATTTTACGGCAGATCTCAGATCAAAGCAGCTGTATTTCAGGTGCTTAGTCACCGCATGCCCTTGTTGGCTTCCATATCAGACAGTGGAAGTTCATGACAAATCTGAAATTGAAAACCAGTGATTTGTCAGAACATCCAATTTAATAACCCACTTCAGCATTTATGGTTCATTCAGATCATCTCTTTTGGAAGTTAGCTTCTGCAATTTAATAGTCTGAAAGTTAACTGAAGAAACCATACCTTCACTTGGGTAAGTTAGATGGTTACCTTGAGATGGCGTGATGACAGGTGTCTGCCATTGGGACTTCTCTCATTGTGTCTGTGTGTATTGTAAAGAAACATTGCGTGTGGGGTCCTGTACACTTACGAATGCACTGGGGGTCTGAATTCTCATTCAGGTATGTAGTAAGTTTTCATCCTGAGTGTACTGTGTTAAAAGTTTGTTATTTCCCCCTTTCTCCTTGTCTCCCCTTTCTAGGCAGAAACATTTAGTTGTAATAAAATAAAAGATAATGACAAGGAAGAAGGCTGCTTCTATTTCAGGTATTTGTCAAATCATTTCATGTGTTCTTGCATATTTTGTTACAATTTATTTAAACCATAGAAGTATGGACTGGGGATTTAGCTCAGTGGCACAGCGCCTGTCTGGCAAGCACAAGGTCGTAAGTTCGATTCCTGGTACCGGAAGAAAAACAAACAAAAAAATAATATGCCTGGCAAGTACAAGGTCGTGAGTTTGATTCCCGGTACCAGAGAAAAACCAAAAAGAAAAACAAACCATAGAAGTATTTGCATCCCTACCAAAGGAAAAGTAGTTTGTGATCAAGTAGACAATACTAACATCTCTAATTTTCCATTTTGAAGTTTTTTGGGGAAAGGCATATTTCGGGGTTTTGGGGTTTTTTTGGTTTTGGGGATTTTTTGTTTGTTGATTTGGGTTTTTGAGACAGAGCCTCACTATGTAGGCTCACTCTGGCCTTGAACTCACCAGCCTCCTGCCTCCACTGCCTCCAAGTACTAGGGTTACAGTCGTGCACCAGCACACCCAGCTGTCCTGAGTAAGATTTTGTTAAGTGGCTTGGGGAGCATCGGTGTGATGCTTGTATTAGCGTGAGAAGCGAAGCCTTGAGAATTCCCGTATGTTGTCAGCGCACTTTCTGTGTTTTATTATGGAGAGATGGCTGTAATTGTGAGATCTTCTGAAGTATAGGAAGCAGATTGGACTGGGTTTTGCTTCTTACGTGACTTTAAGCTGTTGCTTCTTCATTCTAGACTTCCATTTTCAAATCTGAAAGAAAGCTTTGAAAGGGTTATCTGTGAAGTTCCTTTTTTTTTTGGATACCGGGAATCAAACTCACGCCTTGTGCTTGCTAGACAGGTGCTGTGCTGCTGAGTTATGTCCGTGGCCCAGTGTGAGGTTCCTTTTTTATTCCTCCCCTAAGATTTCCTTTAAAGTTCTTTGGGGCTAGAGATGTAGTTCAGTGATAGGGTATATGCTTAGCATGCATGAGGCCCTGGATTAAATCCATAGCACCACAGCAAAAGGCGAAAAGGCAAAAAGACAAAAAAAATGTGGACTGGCAGAAGGCTGTGAAAGTTTTGGAACACTTCAGAGTTTGGTTGTTTTCTATGGTAGACGAGTAACAAAATGTTCAGTCCCATCCCTGTTCTTTGGCCAGCGTTGCTTTTGTCCCCTGAAGTGCTCAAATAATTATAAGGGTCCGATTTAAACTTTAAATTTTAAAAGAGGCAGAAAAGGGGCCACCTTTTCAGTCTGTTAGTTGTCTCAACCTATATGAGAATTGGGCTAGTCCATTATATTGCAAAATATTTATGTTTCCGTTAAATCTTTCTTTAGCCTTCCAGAGCAGCAATTTGAAGGAAACTTTCAATAAATCTTTTAAAAATAATCATACATGTTTTAGAACTAAATAGAGATGGTGGTTAAATAAGAATGAAATTCTGCACATTAAAATGGTTAATTTTTGTTATGTGACTTTTAGTTAAAAAATTAACACATATATAATTATACATATCAAGTAATAAAATATACTAACACTTTGAACATGTTTGAATGAAAATAATCTTGAGATTGCTAATGTGTTAGTGTTTGGGATTTAACATACAATTTTGCATTCAATTTTTAACTTTTTAAAAAGTGAAATAAGAAACTCCAAAAATGCAAAGAAAAAAAAAAAGGTATATAGCATTGTGACTTTGCCCAAATTGAATGTGGGTGTAGCCAGCACAGGGCAGGACGGGCTGCCCTCCCAGAACTCACTCCGCCCCACTGCTGCCCTCACCCCATGGAGCTGCCACACTGCCCCTCCCAATTTGGCATTCTCCTGGCTCTGGTGGCCAGGCGCCTGCCCCCAACGTGTCCAGTTGTGCCCACTCTTGATATATAGAATGTTCTTTTGTAAATGTCAAGACGCTTTCACTTCGTTATTGTTGTGTTTTGCAGTACTAGGTGTTGAACCCAGATCCTTCACACTGAGCCAGTTTCCCAGCCCTTTTTATTTTTCATTTTGAGACAGTATCTCACTAAGGTAGCCAGGCTCTGCTTGAGCTTCAGTCTTCCTGCTTCAGCCTCCCAGGATACTTGGATTACAGGTGTACAGCAGCACCTCTGACTAAGTAGAGTATTTTGCAGGTTGGCATTTTCTTGCAGTACTCTGAAGCCAGCCTTCCTGATCCCATCATTCACCTGAGAACTTAACTGTCAGTCTTACTGTTTTCTCAAAGTCATTTTCTTCCCTCCTTATGTACTTGGTGGTTTTGGATTTTGTTTCCAGCAGTGTTAGTATAGTTTGCCTGTGTGTATTTCGTTTTATGTATCCTACCTGGACTTCATAGACTTTGGCTATATTTTTTTGTTTTGAACAGTGCACAGCCATTATTTCTTTGGGTATTTTTTGTGTCATGATCTTTCCCTCCTCTCCTGGCATTATTTTGTAAGTGTGGTAGTCCTTTTCCCACTTCATTCTCTTACTATAACTCTTCACTGTTCAGCCATCGTTTCTCTTTAGATACTTGCTGTGAACCAGCATCAGCTAACTAATTCCATATAGAGTAGGCTTTAATAGGCTGATGAGTCCATCTTGGAGTCATCCATCTTTGGCATTTTTAGCTCTAGTACTTAAATTTAGTGTTTTGGGTTTTGCTTGAGGGGAGGTCTTGCTGCATTGCCTGGGGAGTTTGGAGGTCAAACAGGCCTTCCACCTTAGCTGCTGAGGATCTGGACCTGCAGCTTCACACCAGCACCTCGGGCTTGCTTTTGCTGTATTTTTACAAGCCGAGCGTGGTGGCGCATGCCTGTAATCCCAGCACTTGGGAAGTTGAGGCAGGAGGGTCGCTGTGAGTGCAGGCCAGCCTGAACTACATTGCAAGATCCTGTCTCAAAAAAACAAAACAAAACAAAAAACCACCTTTTACTCTATGTTCAAAGGTTCCATTTTTCTGTTAAAATTTTCAATCTTGTCTATCAACATTTAGTAAAAGTCTGCTTAGAGTTCCCTTAGGTGTCTCTCCTTTGTTTATCTTGTTTCTGTGTTTCAGTTTCTTTTTGTTGCTTCTCCGTGTAATTCATTATTTTGTTTTTGTGCCAGGCATTTTATTTCTTAATATCTGTAGAAATAATTGCACACCTGAGGTGTAATGATCTGTCCCCAGAGAGAGTTTGCATTTGCTTTTGTTGGTTGTCAGAGATGATTTAAAGCTGTTTTGCATCTCCGTTGGGAGCCTGTCTTCCTTAGGTGTACCTACACCCCGAGAGTTGGCTCCTGGGACTAGAGCAACCGTAAATGACAAACTCATTTGTTAGGGCCCCCTTCGTATATATATCTGGTTAAGTTACTTTATTTAGCCTTGGAACATCTTTAAGCAAAAAGTGTTTCCATGGCTGATTTCATCTGGGGAGATCAGTCTGCCATTTGAAGCAGAAGTCTTTCCACTATAACATCATTCATACTTTAATTGTAGTAAACTATAACCAAAGCATGCTAGAAAATGTACTTCTTACTAGGTATGGAATTTCATAGTGAGAACTAAATCACAATAAATAACTTGATATTTAGAATAATGAATGCGTGAATAGAAAATAATAAAACAAAATCAACAAAAAGGCCTATAGTTTCGAATTATAAAACCATCAGTTTGAAATTTTATAATATCGAAACTGGATATAATGATATATATCCCAGCACTTGGGTGGCTGAGGCAGGAGGATCTCCAGGAGTTTAAGCCCAGCCTGATACACTGAAAGATTTTTTTCTTTTGGTGGGTACCAGGAATCAAACTCTGGACCTTGTACTTGCCAGGCAGGGGCTTGTACCACTGAGCTGCATTACAGCCTGAATTACAGAGCAAGATTCTTTCTCAATAAAACAAATATTAAAAATACTGTAGCAATGAAGCAAAAATTCATTTGGTTTATAATTCATTTGATTTATAATTCATTTGATTTATAATTTCATATTGTGAGTTCCATTTTTATTGTATCCAGATGTTTTGTGAAAGAATGTACAGTTAAGGGAGACCTCAAATTAAACCAGCATATAAGAAATGTTTGTTGAATGAATGAAGGTGAATATAATAAATCTTTTCATTCATCTATTGATTATGCAATCAAAAGTTAATGCTTTCAGTTTTCCTTTTACTTAAAAATTGTCAATAATCTAACCTCTTTTTCATTTAGAGACAAAATAATTCCTAACAAAGTGGGGACATACTGTATCCAGTTTGGCTTTATGATGGATAAAGCAAATATTCTCAACAGTGAACAGGTTTGCTTGCTTTCATAATATGAAATGATTAGCTCTACACTTTCTCACTTAGTGCATGAATGAAGTATTTGCTTAAAAGTGAATTAATTCCTGGGTGTGGTGGCACATGCCTGTAATCCCAGCGCTCGGAAGGCTGAGACAGGAGGATCATTGTGAGGTTGAGGCCAGCCTGGGCTACAAAGTGAGTTCAAGGCCAGCCTGAACTGCATAGCAAGACACTGTCTCAAAAAGACCGAAAAAAAAAAAAAGTGAATTAATTATTGGATTCAGAATATAAATGCAGTAGTCTCCCGATAGTCTTGGGGGACACATACCAACCTCCCAGTGGATGTCTGAAGCTGAAAAGCCTCTGTTCCCTGCGCTGTGTTTTTCCTGTGTATATTCCTATGGTAAAGTTTAATTTATAAGCTAAATAGAGTAAGGGGTTAACAATTAATAGAATAATTGTAACACTATTATAATAAGCTATTTAAAACTTGTGAATCGTTTACTTCTTGGATTCCCCACTTAATATTTTCAGTCCCTGATTGATTACAGGTAACTGAAACCATTGAAAGCAGAATTGTAGAGGAGAAACTGCTATAATATGCTTTTTCAGGAAAATTAGAAATATGTATGTTCAGTAATTAGACCAGATACACAAGTTAAGTTTCCATCTTTCTATCAAAGGTTCATTCATGACCATTATAGTGTGTATTGTTGTGAAAGTTGCTCATGCCAATCATACATAAAAAATGTCAGTAACGTTTCAGTTATTGGTACTCTGGATAGTGACATTCAAATTGTAACATACATACCTTCATTTAATTTTTTCAGTGTACAAAATTCATAAGATGTTTCTTACATTTTTAAGTGCCTCTAAGTTTGTTCGTTGATTCTTAATATATTGTGCCTAACTGGAAGGCTAAGGCAAGAGGCTCACAAGTTCAAGCTCAACCTGGGCAACTTAAGCTGTATCAAAATTTAACAAAGGGCCCAGGGTATGTCTACAGGTCCTTAGTTCAATCCCCAATACCACCCCTGCCCAAAAGAGCCTAATATGCCTTAAATTCTGAAGAGAATTTGAAGAGATTAAAGAGATTGAAGAGATTAAAGATGGCAGAGTAAAGGCCAGCAGCAAACCACAACCTGTCCGGGACCTGGAACGAAGACACTTGGAAAAGAACAGTTTAGTGAAGAGTTGCTCTAGGAATCAAGAACGAGCTGATAAAAAAACCTAGAAATCACAGAAAACTGATGTCAACACAGAGACGAGAAAGAAGCCATCTGGAACACTAACCCTAGCCCCTGCGGGGGGGAGATCTGTCTCCGTTAGGGATACACCTCAGTGTGAACAGCCGCCATGTCTCATTGTGCACGGACAGAGGGGCCTCTGGAACACCGGGGGTGCCTCACCAGCCCACAAGTCATAAAGCTTGTCAGAGCGCAGTGATGGGGGTGGGGGCGGTTGCACACAAACACTAAAGCTACTGGAGAGAGCACAGCCCTCTGGCAGACACCAAACCATCCACTGCCTGCGCTCCGCAGGAAAGATGGGGCAGGACTCAGCATTGCACAGCCAAGAGTGGGTGCGCAGACAACATAGGTCTTCATTGTGACCCCCACGTGTCTTCAGTTACTTCCCTTGCTGCGGGGACAAAATACTTGACACCCACAATTTAAGGAAGAAAAGTTTATTTTGGCTTGCAGTTTGTAGAAGTTTTATCCATGTGGGCTGGCTCCAAGGCAGGGTGGCACGGCAGAGGGGCACAGGGAGGCGAGCAGCTCAGGGCGCAGCAGTGGGGTAGTAAAGTCAGGGAAGAAGGGAGACACACCCTTCCTTCTTCCCACCAGACCCTGCCTTCCAGCAGCATGTTACTGTACTGGCCCTACGATCCTGTCACCTTCCACAGCCCTGCCTGGGGTCACATGAGGCTTTGGGAACATCTACATAGAAACCATGACACTACCCCTTAACCGTGTCTGGTGGATCCCAGCACCCCAGACCCTGGAAAAGTTGCCACTCAGCCAAACACACGGAGGAAGTTTTTGGACTCACTTGTCTTTCTGTTTGAGGGAGGGTCCTTTTTCACCTATATTTTGCTTTTTTTTTTTTTTTTCTGTTACTTTTATCTAATTAACTTTTATTAATTTTCCTCATTTTCCTTTTCCTTTGTTTTCAGTTTTAACTTTCATTTTTTTCCGTTTTCCCGCTCCTTTCATTTTTATTGCTGTTAAGCTTCGTTTTTAGCTGTTTAGTTGACTGTGCCATTATTACTGAATTCTTTTTTCTCATTAATACGGTGTAGTTGTGGCTTTCATAGATACTTACCTGTGTACCAGCATTTGGTTTGTCTTTATGTCTGTTGTTACTGCAGATCTCTTCTGTTGTGAACGGCGGTACAGTTGTGACTGTTAACTGACTGTGATAGTGCGTCAGTGCCGGTTTATCCTTGACTCTATGCTAGTGCTGATTTCTCTGATTAATGGCGATGCAGTTACTGCTTTTAATCGATTTTCACTGCGAGGATCTGGTTTGTCTTCCTGTCATCGACATTATTGTGGTTCATTTTCTCCTCTCTTGGTGGTCCTGAGAGTTCAGCTCCTAGAAGAAGGTTGGACACTAAGAAGACTCAATACTGTGCTGAATAGGTTGGGAAGGGACATAAGTACCAGCACATAACCAAACCCAGGGACACATCGCAGGGAGACAGAATTCCCGCAAGTAGTTACAGAGTTTTTCCACCCTAACGGATCTTCACCCAAAGCACAAAAACAATACAAACAAATACAAGAAAGCAAGGCAGTAAGATGCCTCCAAAAACCCATAACTCCCCAGTGGCTGATTTCCTGGACACTGAAGTAGAGGAAGAACTCTGCAGGCAGAAACTCAAAAACTAAGTGGTCAGAATGTTTGAAGAGATCAAAGAAGAAACATCAATTCATAAGATACTTAGCTTGAAGACGACTTAAATGGATAAAGGATTTTACTAAAATGTTCAGCGAGCTTAAGCTAATTGAACTAAACGAGAAAATTCAAGACATAAGTGACTTTTGGCAAAGCATTAGAAATTAGGAAAAAAAAAAAAACCAAATACAAGGTTCAAAAAACTCAGTAGGAAGCATGGGTAGCAGTTTCACCAGTGTGAGGACAGTGTCAGAAATTGAAGGCAGTGTGAATAGACCATAAGATCAGTGATACCCTAAGCCTGACAAGGCCGCATGCAAGCTGCCAGATAACAAACCAGTTCAGAATTACAGGAAAGAAGGAAAAATTAGAAGATGACTTAAAAGGTACAGGCTTATTCACTGAGATCATAGCAGAACAATTTCCAAATCAAGAGAAAGCATTCGTTATTTAAATACAGTAGCGGGGCCAGAGGCTGCGGGCAGGAGGTGGCAGGCAGGTGGCGACAGCGGTGGCAGCGGGAGCTGGCAGAACGGTGAAGCTGGCAGCGGAGTTGATCGAGCTGGCAGCGCAGTACGCCGACGCTGTGTGGGACCGCGAGCTGGACCTCTGTGGATAGAAAACTCCTGTCATTGAAAAATCTAGGCACTGCCTAGATGGTACTGATTTTTCTGACAGATCAGGAAACTAGATGGTTTTCCTTTGTTGGGAAGACTGAAAACATTATTAGTGAACAGCAGAATATGCTGTCTAGGTGAGGGACTCGATCAGGCTCTGCCGAGTCTCGCAGAACTCCAACAACAGTCACGTGCAGCTGGGTGATTTGCACCCTTTGGCATCTCAAATTACTGACTTATCTGAGCATTCTAAGAAGTCCCGTAACAAATAAGAGGCATTATAGACTGTATGTGATTTATAAAGTTCCACAAGTCAGAGTACAGGATTTTCAGAAAGTAAAACTAAAAGAGCATCAGGAAGCAGAGAAAATGTTCAAGGGCAAATGGGGTGCACAGCTTGCAAAGGATATTCCCAGGAGAAGCAAAACTTGTAATCCAGGTGCTGGTTTGCCAACTGAAAAAGAAAGGTGGGCCCTCTCCAGGTGATGTAGAAGCAATCCAGAACGCTATAGCAAATACATCCACTGTGGCTGAAGTGGAGAGGCTGAAGGGATTGCTGCAGTCTGGTCAGATACCTGGCAGAGAACGCAGATCAGGTCCCACTGACCATGGTGGAGAGATGGAAGAAGTCATAGTTCAAAATGGGTCCTGAGCAGTGTGGCAGATGTAACAGACTCTCTTCGGATAAGTCTCGGTTTTTGAACACAGAATAGTGGCCTTGTTTGTGTCAGCAAAGTGGGATCTGTCAGCGTCATTGAAATGCTTGAAACTGCTTGTGATAATTTTGTAATGAATTTTGAAATCTAATGTCAGTTTTCTATAAATGTTAAAAATAAAGGCCACTCGCTGTGCTGAAAAAAAAAAATACAGTAGGTTTATAGTACCCGAAATAACCACAACCAGAAAAGACCCTCTCCAGAACACATCAGTTACAGAATTTTACAAGAGGAGGAGAAAAGCTTTACAGAAAGACAGCGAGGAACCTGAAAGGCAGGCTTGTCAGGATAGCATCGTTTCTCAGCACAAACTTTCAAGGCCAGGAGAGGGGAACAGAGTTCTTCATGCCCTAGAAAAAGATAGTTGACAACCCAGACTTTTGTATTCTTGAAAATTCCCCCTACCCCGGCATCAACAGAGAAAAAGACTTTCCATGACAAATCCCAGAGAAGTACTTGAGTTCTAAGTCGACACTGCAGGCAGGACTCCAGGGAATCCTGCGCAGAGACAAAGAGGCCACCAGCGCCAGGCTTGAGGGGCCCAAAGGAGAGGGCACCTCTACCTGGGAGATGCTTTCAACAAAAGGGAAGAAGGAAAGGAGTTACCACTGGAAAAATAATGTAATGACCCAAGTCGCTAAAAAATAAATAAACGAAAGTAACAGGAAATTAATGGAAATAAGTTTTAGAAAGTAACATTTAATTTTATATATGCCATCATTTCTTAAGTATTAATAGTAAAACATTAATAAGTTATTAACTAGCTGCTGCTTTTGTTTCATAAGGTTATAGTTGATGTGCTACCTAATCAGCCTGTGAAGTTAGTTCCTGAAATTCAACCTGCTACCCCAGCTGTTTCTAATGTTCGCTCAATTGCCAGTAGGACCTTGGTCAAAGATTTACGTCTCAATATCACGGTAATGTGTGTCACCTTTCAAAACTGCAAAGAGGAACAAGAAAAATTGTCCTTGATGTTTAGGTGCAAAATACTTACTGTAGAGTCAGAAAGATTGTTCAGTTTAAGTTTACAGGGGGAAAAAAGCTTATAGGGGAAACCTGCAGCTGAATTAAATATTTATAAAAACCTTTGTGTTTGGATCTAGAGAATGCATAAAGTTACACATTGAATCCAAATACACAAAAAACTGATGCCAGATGCAGAAGTCTGCCCACCTTCCATTCTCTTGTTTCATGTATGGATTGTCACTGTCTGTGAGCTGGGTGGACTTCTCAGTGTTGAGTTCCTAGAAGGGAGAAGCAGGTAGATAGATGCTAGAGGTCAGTCAGCCGGAGGCCCTCAACGCTGCTGATTGTCTAAGGGTAAGCAGCGAAAGGGCTGCCAAGAATGCTAACAAAAGCACGCACAGCGCGGTGGTGAGGGGCTGGGGGAAGAGCTCCGGTAGAATGCTTGCCTGGCGTGCGTGACGTCCTGCTCTTGGTCCCTAGCACCTGGTGGGACCCCAGTGCTGAGAGAGACTTTATGGAAAAGTGGGCCGGTGGGACACTGAACTCCTTTTAGTTTATTCTCCAGTTTTCAACAAGTGGTTCTTCTCTTCACCCACACATCCCGGGGTAAACAGTGCCATAGAAGTACGGTGAGGATCTTCAAGTCTATAGACGTGCCAAACACTGTCAGAAGAGTGTAAAATACCTCACACAAGCAGTTGAAGTTCCCAAGACCTGTTGTTATTTAACATTTTTTCACAGCAATAGATAGTAAAAGTACAACACATGAAATTTTAAAATGAGAGTCACTGTGATTTAGAAAATTAGGAACCATTGTATTAGAGATTTCTTATTGTTTTATGGTTTCTGGAGCTATTTTCTGCCTGAAATACAAACTTAAAGCTGAATTCTGTGCTTAGATTAAGAAAGATCAAGATAATTTAATTCTGGGCTTCTGTTTGTGTGTATTTTTTTTTTTTCTGATTTCTACATGCCTTTCTCTGTATAGTCTTCTAACTAGTTCTTATAGTTAGTTATTTTCTGCTCGTTTTAAGGATGCATATGGCAATCGTACGGGGAGAAATTTGGTTGGCACTGTGGTAGCTACCATTAAGGACTTTAAGGAGGAAGATACTGACACTCCACTCTTTACTGGGAAAGTTAGAACGCTTGAATTTCCCTTCACGAGTGGTTCTGCGGAGATCACGGTAAGTTTTTTTAATATTTTGTTCGTTAAAATTTCTACACTGAATTTTATAAACCAACATATTAAGATACCTGTTCTGATTTTGCTCTTAGCTATTACAAATTGTACTGAATCATCATTACTGGTAACAAGTAGCTTTCTGTTTATTTTCCTTTCAGTTTATTTTCCGATTTTTTTTAAGTGTTAGTGACAGTATAATGTTCATATTTCATTGCTTGTTGTGAGTATGTTGTTTGGTTTGGTTTGGATTTTTGTGATGCAGTGCTAGAGATTGAACTCAAGCCTTGCGTATGCTAGGCAGGTGCCTGCCTCTGCACTGCGTTCTCAGCCCTTCCTGTGTTGTTGTAAAGCTGCCATTGTGTAGACAGAACGAAATGCAGGCCACGTAAAGCTTAAAACAGGCTTTGTTTTTTTCTGAATTAAAAAATTTACTTAGCTGGGCGTGGTGGCGCATGCAGGAGGATCGTTGCGAGTTCGAGACCAGCCTGGGCTACAAAGTGAGCTCAAGGCCAGCCTGCACTGCACAGAGAGACCCTGTCTCAAAAAGACAAAAATAAAAAAATAAAATAAAACTTAAAAAAATAAAAAATTTACTTGTATCAAAAAATACACAATGTAAGAACCCCCTTAGTCATGGTATTTTCGTTCTTCAGAGACAACAGCAGTAAGCAGTATATCTAGGGGAGATACTAAATTCCATTAAAATAATAGGGCTATGTCCTTGTAAAAACATCTTTCTCTCCTGTTTAATCTGTCTCTGATGTCGTTCTTCATCCGTGAATATACACCTACATCATTAATGCAGTGACCACAGTTTATTTTTATCAATCTTTTGTGTAGACTTAGTTTCTTTCTACAGTTCGTTTTTTTTTTTTTGGTTTTTCTCCGGTACCGGGAACCGAACTCACGACCTTGCGCATGCCAGGCAGGCACTTTTGCCGCTGAGCTAAATCCCCAGCCCCCTACAGTTTGTTTTTAATAACAGTGTTTCCATAAGCTTTTTTCTAAGGGTATTTTTTTTTTTTTTTAACGTGGATTATTTCCTTATGAAATTGCTGGAAGCAGAATTGGTTGGAGATAGAATCTTCTTTTTTGTATAGAAGTACTTTTTCTTGAATTTCATGTTTAGGTTTTTCCCTTTATGTTGAGGGGGCAAATTATATTCACAGTGCTCCGACTAATACTCTCATGCCTTAATCTTCATACAGTCTGCTGTATATACTTCTGATCTTAATGCATTAGTGACTTAGCTCTTTCCCAATATCTGCATAAAAAAATCTAAGCTTCGTGCCATGTGTGTGGATATCCTCTTACCTCTAGAGGTCCTTGGTAGTTCACTGAGTAGACAAAATTCTCAGGTTCTACTTGGCTCCTGCATAGTGAGTGTGGGTGTGGGGTGTGTGTTTTTATTTTGTTTTTTTGTGTTGTGGTCACATATTGATTTCATATGTGTGGAGCCAGGTTCTTTTTGTTTTTGTTTTTTAATCTTTTTGAGACAGGGCCTCACTGTGCAGTTCAGGCTGGCTTTGAGCTCACTTTGTAGCCCAGATTGGTCTTGAACTCACAACGATCCTCCTGCCTCAACCTCCCGAGTGCTGGGATTACAGGCGTGCGCCACCACGCCTGGCTGGAGCCAGATTCTTAAATCTGGCTTTTAACAAATTGATGTTTTTGTTTTGTGCTGGTGATTAAACTCAGGCCTCCATTACCAATAAACCCACCCCAGCAAGTGATCAATTGTTTTATGGAAGTTTAGAAAACACTGCCCCAGCCAGGCGTGGTGGCACATGCCTGTAACCCCAGCACTCAGGAGGCTGAGGCAGGAGGCCTGCCACAAATTCAAGGCCAGCCTGGACTACATAGTTTGTTCATGGGCAGCCTGAACTATAAAGCAAGACTCTGTCTCCAAAAAAAAAAAAAAAAAAGAAAAGAAAAAGAAAAGAAAACACTGGCCCAGAATATAATTAGTATTTGTAAGTTTACCACATTTCTTTAAAAAGAACATGTATTGTTTTGTTTCATATTTTGAAGTTGCTCAAGTTTGTTAATTGCGTTACTCAGACTCTGTATGATTTGCCTACTTGATCTGGAAATTTCTGACAAGTGTCTCAGCTTCATTCTGATGGTCATTTGTCCATTTCATGCATGTCGAATCTGTGTTGTACTTGGGTCCACTTTTGAGTCTTCATTTTTCTTTGTTCCTGTTGTACTCTATATCCCTTTTCTAAGTAGTTGTACATCGAGGATTACAAATTATAAAAGTTTGAAATATGAGAGCTACTGTAAGTGAGACAAAAAGAAAAAGATGGTGTTTAACTACATTTAAAGTTAAACTATGCATCATAAACATATCTAAAACAGAATTAAAAGTGTTGATAAGGTGATGTGACTAGAGATTCATTACCTAATTCTCTAGTAAAGGGAAATTTGATACTTGATTAACTATTATAACTAGTCATTATGTTTCTCATTGTCATCCTAGAAAATACATTTACAAAGAAGCATTCCGTAATCATCTGTTCACTGTATTACAGATTAAAGTGGTAACTGTACATTGTATGAATTGACAGCAAATCAGACTTAGTACTGAAAGCAAGTGGTTACCTGTGTGTTGTTTTTAATAGGGACTTTGGTAGGGCTACTGGAAAATAAGCCCACATTTGTGTTCAATACGTTTTAAGAACAGCTTCCAGAAACTGAGTGAGAATTGCTTTGATAGTGAGCTTATATTTTCTGTGTCATAGATGGGTCTACACTGTTCTATCGAGATGTTTTTTAATTTTTCTTTCTATCTGTATATTGTCCTCTGCCTACCAAAGTAGTTAATAGTTCTTGTTTTCTGTAGAACAATGAAAAAACATTTGGGCTAAGATATTTTGTATTTCAGCACTTACTAGTTACATACTGTGATCTTAAGCTAAAGTACATTAAGGGTTTTGTGCATTAATAAAAATAAAATTTTAAAGGACAGATATTCAGAGCTTTTGAGAACCTCTTGTTCTTTCACCTGGGACTGGTGGATCTGTTTCCATGGTAACCACTGTAACTTAAACTCAGCCTTGGGCTTTGGGCTTTTCTTTGTGATTGTTTTTATAACTTTCAGACCATTAGCTATCTCATACTGCTTCAACTTAACGGTTAAAACCAAAATTTTGCAGCACAAGATCTAAGTGGCCATTGATACATCTGGTATGAAGGAAGATATAATTTTCGATTATATTTGTTTTTTGCATATGTTGTGTTGATAAGATCAGAATGTAAAATGTTTTATGTCTTGGACGGTGGTGGTAATGATTTAATATCTTAAAGCGTCCCTCAGTACCTTTTGCCTTTAAATTTCACCACTTGCTTGAAGGCAAACTGATGAGAAATAGAACCCTGAAAGCTTTCTTTTTAAATGCTTTTTTCTTTCCCCTCCTCCTTTTGTATTTGTGCAGAGTCTCGTGCTGGCAGAAAACAGTCCTGGGAGGGATAGTACTGAATATCTCATTCTATTTGAGCCCCGTCTCCCGCCTTTGACAGCAGCACTGGAACCGTATATCCTACCGTTCATGTTTTACAATGGTGAGTGTCTAGAGATAGAACTACTAACCCTGCTGTCAGCGGTACTTCAGGTGACTTCACCCTACCTCCCGCTAACATCACTTCGTGACATATTTTGGAAAAGTCCCCATTTCTGAGCTGATTAAATTGTCCGAATTTTCTTATCCTAGATGTTAAGAAGCAGCAACAAATGGCAGCACTTACGAAAGAAAAGGATGAGTTGTCTAAGTCTATTATCATGTACAGAAGTGTATTTGAAGCCAGCAAACAGCTTCTTGATGAAATGAAATGTAAGTCATCTTACATCCAAATGTAATAAACTTACACTTCAGGGAGTGGTGGAAACGGTGAGATACAAACCCAGCTGGTTTGGTTTTGTGACCAGAGCCTGCAGTTAGGTGTAAACATGACCAGTAAGTCAAACCTTTACATTTTTAAAAAGCATGAATGTCTAAATGCCTCATTTACCTGGGTATCTATCCATCTCATTCCCTAGATATGGGAAAGTTTCTGCAATAATTTTAGCGAGTAAATTTTTTACACCATTAGTCTGTGCCTGTATCCATTCCTCAAGGTCAGTGATCTTTGTTGTCTTTTTTATTTTTTTTTTTTTTGTTTGTTTTTTCTCCGGTACCGGGAACTGAACTCACGACCTTGCACTTGCCAGGCAGGCGCTTTTGCCACTGAGCTAAGTCCCCAGGCCCTCTTTGTTGTCTTTTAAAGTCATGTAGGAGCCTTGAATCATCTTTGGATTGTCTCCCGTTTCTTCAGTATTAGAGTAAATGTTCTAGAACATCAATCTTGTCTTCAAGACCTGATATTATGTCTTCTGATTGATCTCGCCTACTGCCAGAATTCCCACCGGAGTGTCTCCTTTCTGGGATTTCCACTTGATGTCTTTTTGTAGCGTCTGACTCTTGACTGAGGTGGTCTTTCATCGCTGGCGTGGCTCTGCTGAAGCCGTTCAGCTGCTTGTTGGTATTTTCTTTAAGCTCATCTTAGTGATTGATTCATTCAGCTACTTATTGGTCTCTTTTTTGAGTTTATTGCCTGGAAATTCATCTACTTCAGGGTCTATGAGATTCATCTCTGTGGAGTTAAGAATTTTGGGAGGCATTTTGTTGTCTGTTGTCTCATGATTCTTGGGTGTTTGTGTTGAATGTCTTAGATCAGCTGGGGTAGAAGCCTCTGCCACTGTAGTAGAGATCTCCTTGGTAAGCAGCTTTCCCCCTGTGATGTGCTGTTGGTTTGGGTCTGATTCAGTGTGTAGGCACCCACTCGATCAGTCTCTGTTGTCGCCTTTTGAAAAGAAAACAGCTACCAGTAATGTTAACATCCAAAGGACCAGCCATATGCCAACACATCGTTTGAAACTTGCTTAAAAAATTTTAAACTCTCAGTAACTCAGGAAGATGAAGGAAGCGTAGTGACAAAATAGGCTGGGAAATGGAAGGAAAAAGAGATGAAATGAAAAAGGAGAAAGGAAAAATAGGTTTTGACGGTACTATTTTTATGGCAGGACAGAAGGGGGGAGGGAGAGGGGGTGTGAGAAGATACGTGTGGGGCAGAGAGAAGGAAGGGAAGGAAATACGAGTGGGAAGGGTGAGAGGCTTAAAGGATGTTGAAAGCAGTTACTGAACTAGCAGTAACCCACAGCTGGAAGACTTGGAAAATAACTCTGGGGCAGGAGAACCCAGCAGATGAGTTAAATCATCGTAGAAATTGAAACAGTAACCAACACCCTTGCACAGTTACACCCACGTGCCCCCACCCCCACTAGGAGTGACGAGGGTCTGAGGACCTGCGCAGGTGGCTGAGTCCGCCTCTCGCGGCGGCTGAGGCTGGTGTGAGGCGGGGTAAGTGCTCCTGCGTATTTGGGAGCTTCTGTTGTTTCCAGGTCTGTGGTGAGGCATTTGCCCTGCTCCCTCCGCTGAGTTTCAGCCTGGAGTTCTCAGCCAGCTGTGGGCTTACGGAACACGCAGCCCTGCCATGCTCACTCCATCTGCAATTCCAGTCCCCTTACCTCACCTCGTCCAAGCTTCTGTGATTTGAGTGGTGTCTGCGCTTAGGGAGGATGTTTTCTCAGTGCAGGTTGTGTCCACCCTCCATGTCCACTGCCCCGAACCTCTGATATATCTTCAGCACTTGTTTCCCGAAGGTCCAATGCTAGACGGGCAGGGACCGTGTAGCTGCACCTCAGAGTGGACGAAGGCGCTGGAGCGAGTGCTCACTGGTGGCCTTTGTCCTCCTTCTTTCTCTAAGAGTTTTGTACATTTCACACAAGTGTGAAATCTCTGTGATTGGGGTCTGTTCACTGTTATTACCACAGATTCTAGGCCATGTTCTTATGGGGAAACTGCTGTGGACAGTAGTGTCTCTGGACCTGTGCTAGGAGAATCGCCCAGAGATGATGGGCAGCTTTTCTTATTCTAGTTTTCCCATTTTCTGTGTTTCACCTATTTGTGGTCCTGCTTAGGGTTCACTTCAGTGGTGGGTGAGTCTGCTACTTCAGGTAGACGTGCTGACCTCGGTGTATATCTCAAGCGCCCTGTGGGTGCTGCTTCCTTTGCATGGCCACAGTCCCCTTCCATCCTCTGTGTGGGCCAGGAGGCAGCCCTGTCATGCAGGCAGTTCATTGTTCATGGGACTGTCTGGGTCAAGACCTTGTGGAGATCTCAGTCCATAATCGGCTGGCTCCAAGGCAGGGTAGCCTGGCACAAGGGCAACAGTTCAAGGCAGCAGAAGACAGCAAAAGCAGCAAGAGCAAAAAGGGCTGAACAACTAATATGAAGACAACAATATGCAGTATAGCAACCATTGTTGAATTCCTACCATCTTGAAACTCTGTTTCCAGTTTTTTTATTATTTTTTATTCTCTTCTTTTGATCAGTCTCACATTCTTAAAACTTAAACTGAGCAACTTCATTGAAGATAACAATATGTAATATAACAACCGTTGTTGCTGGGCATGGTGGCCCACGCCTGTAATCCCAGCACTCGGGAGGCTGAGGCAGGAGGATCATTGCGAGTTCAAGACCAGCCTGGGCTACAAAGTAAGCTCAAGGCCAGCCTGAACTGCATAGCGAGACCCTGTCTCAAAAAGACAAAAAAAACAAACAAACAAGAAGATCAGCCATTGTTAATGTCCTATCATCTTGTTTTGAAATTCTGTATTGTTTTTATTGTTTTTATGGGAGTTTTTTGTTTTGGGGGGGTTTTTTGGTACTGGGAATCAAACTCAGGACCTTCCTTGTGCTTGCCAGGCAGGCTTGTGCCTGAGCTATATCCCCGGCCCTTTTGTGTTGTTTTTATCTTCGTTGTTATTTTGCTTTGTTTTCTTTAAAAAATAAAATAAATAAAAATAAATAAAAAAGATTAAGAAACTTACCTGAAATCACTAGGAGTTTGAAGGATATCATACATCTCCTTTACCTGCATTAATATTTTTATTTTTATATGCTAGAGTTGAACTTTAAGATTTATAGTTTAATTTTGAACTTTGGTAATAATCACTGGTCCATGTCCATCAAGCATTTAAAGGGTGAAAAGAATTGAAAATTAAATACTTTTCAAAAATTGTTTTGGAACTACCAGAAATTGATGCAGTTGTTCTGTTGTTTTACTTTTACTTTTAGGCCAAGTGGAAGAAGCAAAGTTAAAAGAGGCTCAGTTGCGAAATGAACTAAAAATACACAATATTGATATTCCTACAACACAACAGGTATAGTGTCCGAGTGTATATTAAAGATCTTTGTATAAAACTTACCATTTATGTTTTACTAGGAATGCTATGGTCACTGCTATTTTAGGGTACAAAGGGATGTATATGTACATTATAATCTAGTCACATACTAGACATTAAAAGGAGTTAACAAAATGATACAGTACTCTCTTCCAAGAAACTGGAGTTTGTATTTTTAATATGATACCAATAAATAGTTAATAATAAACCAAGTATTACATTAAGAGGCTGCATGAGCAATAAAGAATAGATATTGTGAAAGGGAAAGAGACTGCTCAAAAGGAAAGAACAACTGGGATGAGGGAAAGGAGAAAAGAAGGAAGGGGAAAAGGAAAATATATATATATATATATACATATATATATATGCACACAGACACATACATACAAGATAGCTAAGGTAGTTATACTACTAATTTCTGTTGTTTTATTAAAAGGAACAATTAATGCTTAATATTTTTTTTGACCAATTTTGCATGCTTATATCTGGTAATCTGAACAGCTACTTTGGAGACAACAGTATGCAATGTAACAGCCATTGTTGAATTCATATCATATTTTTTTTGAAATTCTGTATCGTTTCTATTGGTTTATTAAAAGGAACAGTTAATGCTGTTAAATTGTTTGACCAGTCTTGCATACCTGTATCTGGTAATCTGAGCAACTACTTTGAAGATAACAGTCTGTAATGTAACAACCATTATTAATTTCCTACTACCTTGTTTTGAAATTCTGTATCATTTTTACTTTGTTGTTTTTTTAATTCACTTTAAAATTTAAAAAAAATTTTAAGAAGATCACTGAAAAGAAAAACCAGTAAACATGGTAGTAAAGAAAGCAAAAGAGTGGGCTGGGGATATAGCTCAGCAGCATAAGTGCCTGCCTGGCAAGCACAAGGTCCTGAGTTCAATTCCTGGTACCACCAAAAAAAAAAAAAAAAAAAATAGGGCTGGGGATTTAGCTCAGCAGCACAGCGCCAGCCCAGCAAGTGCAAGGTTGTGAGTTCGATCCCCGGTACCGGAAAAAAACCAAAACAAAACAAAAAAAAAGAAAAGAAAACAAAAGAAAGTATCAAAGTGCAGTATCCATTTCTGAAAACTTAAGTTCTTTATATTTGTAATTCATTTCTAAAGAGAAGTAGTATTGGTGGTCTGTTTCTTAATTAAGGTAAAATTCAGTGTATAGCTGAATGATAGAACTCATGCTTACTTAATATGTGCAAGGCCTTGGGTTTGATCCCAAGCATCACTAAACCAAGAAAAAAAAGCATTGTATTCTCAAGCTGAGGGGAGAGCTTGGTGACAGTACTTGCTTAGCGCAAGTGTGACCCTAGGTCATTCCCCCAAGGCTGTGTGTGTGTGTGTGTGTGTGTGTGTGTGTGTGTGTGTGTGTGTGTGTGTGTGTGTGTGTGTGTGTGTGTGTGTGTGTGTACGTGTGTGTATACGTGTGTGTTTGCTTGCAGTGCCGGGGGTTGTTCCAGGGCCTCAAGTATAGCTAGGTGGGCATTCTTCCACTGAGCTACATCCTCCGTCCTTTCTTAAAAAATTTTTTTTATTTGGCCGGCCAGGTACATTGTGCTTACTTACCATTGTTTAATGGTAACACCTGGAGCTGGGGATTTAGCTCAGCAGCAAAGCACCTGCCTGGCAAGCGCAAGGTTGTGAGTTTGGTTCCCGGTACCGGAGAAAAAACAAAACAAAACAAAAAAAATGGTAACACCTAATGAAGCACAGCACGGCATCTGTGGAGAAAATTTTTTATTTTGAGACAGGGCTTTGCTAACTTTCCCAGGTTGGCCTTCCCCTTCCGATCATCTTGTCTCAGCCTCTCTGGTGGCTGAGTCGTCAGTGCTGCCACACCCAGCGTGAGATGGGAGCTTTATATGGCCAGCTCCAGGCTGCTTGGTCGTTTTTTAAGTAATGCCCGTGATGAACTTCATCTTCTCATGCTCCAAATTGTTGAGTTTTCTCTGCTATCCTCGTTAACTGCCTGTTACAAGAGTAGCTGGCCTTGCAGACCATTTGTCTTCATAAATTACAGATGGAACACATTGAAGCACTTTTGAAAAGAAAGGTAACAGAACAAGAAGAACTGAAGAAAAGACCCAGAAGGTCATGTACTCTTCCGAACTACACCAAAGGCAGTGGGGATGTTTTGGGAAAGGTAAGTCTGTAGGAAGCAGTGCGTTCTCTATCTTGGGTAAAATAGTTTATTTAGAAGTGGCAAAGTGTCAGTTTCTTTGTAACTTTAAATTTGTTCCAAAGCCAGGCATAGTGGCGCATACCTGTAATCTCAGCACTCGGGAGGCTGAGGCAGGAGGATCGTTGCGAGTTCAAGACCAGCCTGGGCTATAAAGTAAGCTCGAGGCCAGCCTGAGTTGCATAGTGAGACTCTCAAAAAGACAGACAGACAGACAGATAGATAGATAGATTAAATAAATTTATTCCAATAAATCACGTATTCTCAGTACTATGATAGGGATTTGTCAGAGTTTAAAACGGATATTTTCCAAGTGATTTGGCACATGCCTATAATCCCAGCACTTGAGAGGCTAAAGCAGTATGATCACCACAAGTGTGCCTGGACTACATAGCAAGACCCTGTCTCAAAAAAATGGAATAAAATAAAACTTAAATCCACAGTTGTTACTGCTAGTGAGAACTGTGGCAGAAGCTGTGGACACCTACATTCAAGGCTTGTCCATTAGAGATACTTCCTCATCATAGGGCTTTGTGAGGAGCCAGCATTTCTACAGGGAACTGAAATTTAAGGTGGAAAATGGAAGAGAAAGAAATAGCAGGTATTTTCTGAGTTCCAAGTCTGAAATTTTTAAAGAGCAGTTGTCTAGATTTTTAAGAAAAAGAAGAACAAAAGGAACCTTCCTTACATTCCCTGCCAAGGGCGTGGGTGCCGCTTTCTCTGCCGCTGCACAGGAGTGCGGCACGTTTCCTTTCAGCACACCACTGTGTAGTCTCGCACACTGTGGCGTTTTTCTAAGTTAGAGTTTCTGTTTGTAGTTTTTAAGGCCTCTAGGTGTCGCTTCATCTTACTCCGTCTTTCTTACCTTGTTTCTCCTGCTTTCAGTGCCGTTGAGATGTGCAGTATGTATTACACGTGTGTTACTTGTAAGTTTTCCCATTTAGTAGTCATCTTTTTGCTTTTCTACCCCATTTTGCAGTAAAGCGACTGAAGTGGAAGTTCAAAGAGGGTAGAGGTCCTGCTGGGGTTTGCTCAGCTGGCCGGTGGCAGAGCCAGGGCTCCCAGCAGCAGTTGACTCTGGAGACTGCTGCCTGCTTACACACAAGTCTTTCACAGTCCCCGTTAGGACAGTTTGTAGGGTTTCTAGCTTGCGCATGAGGAAACTGAAGTTCAGGGACCTTAAATACCTTATGAATCTATACATTAGAGGCCGGGCTTGGAGGGGAACCAAGGCCTCTCTCACACCAAAGCCCGTGGTGGTTTCTGTATATACTGCACGTGGGGTCAGAAGTGCAATACAGGTGCCAGGGATATAGCTCAGTGGCATAAGCACCTGCCTGGCAAGCGCGAGGACTGGAGTTTGATCCCTGGTACTGCAAAAAACAAAACAAAACTGCAGAAGTGTAGTACAGCCTGATAGGAGGAGGCAGCCAAGACTCCACGTCTGCAAATGGAAGAATTCAGTGTAGTCATAATTGTACAGATAGTTCTATGTAATGTTTTAAAATGTTATTCTTGGATGGGGATGTAGCCCAGCTGCACAGATGCCTGCCTGGTAAGTGCAAGGTCCTGAGTTGGATTCCTGGTAACAAAAAAATAAGTAAATAAAAGTTTTAAAAAATGTTCTTCTTCAGAACTAGCTTCTAGACAGAAACAACACTGATCAAAAGCATACAGACCAGTGGTGGTGAACCTTTTGGAGACAGAGTGCCCGGCAGCAACCCAGAACCCACTTACCACGAAGTGCCAACACTACAGTAAATCTGGAAACTGAGGTGTTAGTTTAAACAAGCAGCTCATGCAGTAACATCTTTTGTCGTGAAAACACAGCAACGCAGGTGCTGTAGGCTCGCCACCACCGAGGGAGAGCAGCAGCGGTAACTGTAGAATGTTTAGTTTCCACATTTCAGTGGCTCACTCAACACCAAATTCCGCAGTACGAAGACTGCTGCCAGCATCTACAATAAATTTCAGGAGAAACATACTTTAAAGTCTCTTATTTAAGTTGTTTTTTGTGTCTTAAAAATAAAGAGGAAATCTTTGAAATTTCATTTTATATAATTTCTCTCTCTTCCCTCAGCAGTACAAGTTCTGTTCTCACCATTAAGAGACAAGTTTCTAATCCTTCCTAATCACTCTTAAACTTCTTTTAAAAAATCTCTTTCTGGCATTTATCCCCATTTTCGACACATAGTAAAGAAGTGTGATGGGGAGCAGTGGGAGGTTCGCCTCTGAACCCTGCAGCACACTTCTAGCGTTGTGAACACCTCCAGTACCATGGGCATGATGTAGTCTTTTCCTCCTCAATTTCAAATATCCCTGAATGAGGAAAATTAGCATCAGTTCTAAGAGTTCTTTGATTCAGTTGAATATAATGAATACGCCCTTCTAAATAGATTTTGTGCCATTGTTACAGCATTTCAGAAGATCTGCTTATTACAAATAAAAATTATTTTTTCTGTTTATATTTTATTTACCTCCATCTGTCCTTCCTACATTGGCTAGAACATTTTTTCACCTTCATTTATGTGTACTAAGTTTTTTACAAGTCTGTTTTCTGTTTTTCCACTAATTTCTAGTGAATTGGGAAACAAGGGCAGACATCATAATTTGTCGAACCATTGCACCAAAGAGTCTTACTCCTCAGCAGGTTTGTGGTACAGTCAGGCTGGGGGTTAGATAGGACCGAATCATACCGACGAGTAAGGTTTTGATCCTAGTTTGGTGATTGTTGAATAGGAATGCTTGTGGCTAAAGTATTTGTAAATAGGAAAGTGATTATTTCTCTTAAACTGCAAAGAAGTCAGAAGCTAAAGAAGTAAGTCTCATTTGTGATGTTCAGTTTTTGTTTTCTGAAATAAATAGTAAAATATAGGATAAAATATCTACTTGGAAGGGTATGTTAACTATGTTTTTGTTCAATTGAATCTTTTTTTTTTTTTTTTTTTTTTTTTGGTCTTTTTGAGACAGGGTCTCGCTATGCAGTTCAGGCTGGCCTTGAGCTCACTTTGTAGCCCAGGCTGGTCTCCAACTTGCACTGATCGTCCTGCCTCAGCCTCGCGAGTGCTGGGATTATAGGTGTGCGCCACCATGCCCAGTGAAAACCATTTTTAGCTGGCAAATTCTAATGTTTTTATTTGCCCACCTGAAAATTAACTGTAGTTTAATCTATGCAAAATGTTTTCCAAGATTTAACAGTAGAAGAGAATTTAATATATTCAAGTCAGTACTATAAGTGTTTATATTTTAAAATTTTTTTTTAATTCCTGTATTACAGGAAAGTACTTTTGCTCTATAGGTTAAGGCTTTTAAAATGTTTAGTATCAAATTTTTATGATTATTTTTAAATTTCCTCCTTGATTTTTATTCTTGTCCTGGACTGGGTCACAGATCGCACACCTGGCGCAGATTGAAGACGACAGAGCCGCGATGGTGATCTCCTGGCACCTGGCGAGCGACATGGACTGCGTGGTCACTCTGACCACCGACGCCGCGCGCCGCATCTACGACGAGACCCAGGGCCGGCAGCAGGTGCTTCCCCTCGACTCGATCTATAAGAAGACGCTTCCCGACTGGAAAAGGTCAGGGAAGAGTGAAAGTCTTTGTCTAGTTTGTTGATAATATTTTGGACTGCTGGGAGTCAAACCTAGGACTTCACTTATGTTAGACAAGAGCCCTACTGCTGCGTTAATCCCCAGTCCACCTTGGTTTCTATCAAAACACTTAATTTAAAAATGATCTCTCAAGCTGGGTGTGGTGGCACAAGCCTGTAATCCCAGCACCTGGAAGGCCGAGGCAGGAGGATCATTGTGAATTCGAGGCCAGCTTGGGCTACTGAAGTGAGCTAAAGGTCAGCCTGAACTGCATAGACAAAAAGATAAAAAATAAAACGGATCTCTCAGAGCCAGGGGTAGTAGCAGCACATGCCTATACAAGTCCCAGCTGTTGGGGAGGCTTAAGGCAGGAGGATCATAACTTCAAGGCCAGTGGACAACTTATTCATACTTTGTCTCAAAATAGTTTTTTGTTTTTTGGGTTTTTTTTGGTACTGGGACTTGAACTCAGGACCTTGAGATTGCCAGGCAGGTGCTTATGGCACTGAGCTATATCCCCTGCCCAGTTTTTTTTTTTTTTTAAAGGACTAAAAAAATAGCTTAGTGACAGGTCACTTGGCTAGCATGTGCAAAAGCCTGGGCTGAATTCCCAAACCCCCATTCCCAGTAAAAATAGTTCCTGTGAAAAACAGCTACAACAAATTGAGAAGTAACTCAGATTATCTACGGTTTTGTCTTTCTCACAGGTGTGCTTATTAATACCAGTATTGAAGTGTATTTGACAATATATATGCTATGTTTTATTGCCTGTTAAATGTTATTTCTACTACACGTGTGCCATGTGTGAAAATGCACACATAAATCCAAAGAAGATCTTTGGTCTCTGTAACAAGACAGTTGGAAGGATATTTTTATTGTTACAAAATGTAGAACCCTTTTATTTGGAGTAAGGCTGGCGATGATGTACCTTTTATCCTCTTAGTGTCCTGTGGAAATAAACTAGCATCTCAGCAGATAGAGTCTGTTGGCAGAACTGTTCACAAGTACTAAATTGCCAGGCTGTAGTGGGGTCTGAGCAAGGGCTTGCAGGAGAACCAGAAGTGTGCTGTGGTAGCAAACGCAGGTTATTTTGTTTTATAGTCTAAAAATAGGTCCAGGAAATAGTTGAAATTTAAAGTCAAATCTGTTGGTTTTCCCAGATCTCACTCTGCTGAAGTACTAATATTCAGGGCCAAGGTTTGCTCTAGAAATTAAAATCCCTGTTCCATTCCTAGCGAGTGCATCACTCTCCGCCTCCCTCCTTTACTTCCTCTTCTCTTCGCTCCCTCTCTGCTTTCCCTGCTTTCTTCCTTGTGTGCAGGTTTCTGCTTCTCCCTGGGATGAACGCTGCCAAAGCCGCCATCATCCCCTCCTCCTGTCCCAGTCTCACTGCTCGGAGCCCCGTTGTCCCGTGGGCTTTTCCTCTCTGGGGCAGGATGGAGTCCCCGCACTGTTTCCTCCTTCACCTGCTCTTGGTCTTTCTGAGACAGGGTCTTGCTGTGCAGTTCAGACTGGCCTTGAGCTCACTGTGTAACCCAGGCTGGTCTCAAACTCGCAATGATCCTCCTGCCTCAGCCTCCCAAGCACTGGGATTACAGGCATGCACCACCACGCCCAACCCCTGCTCTTGGTCTTGGGCCTTGCCCATCCCTTGCCCCTTCTGTGCCCTCTCCCCACAGGGTCTGCATTTGGGTCAGCTTTGTATAGTAACTGTTGGTTTAGGGTATCGTGGGGTACATGAGGAATGGTTATGTGGTCAAAATAGTATGTGGCGTGTCATGTGTTTTTCATATTCTTTGAAAATGAAAAGATATACTCTGTTTAATACCTTTATTTTTTCTTTTCTTTCCTTTTTTTTTTTTTTTTTTTTTTTTTTAAACTTAGACCTTTACCTCATTTCCGAAATGGAAAATTTTATTTTAAACCCATTGGAGATCCTGTCTTTGCCCGAGATTTGCTAACGTTTCCAGATAATATAGAACACTGTGAAACAGGTAAAGGTTATTGTGGTAGCTTATTTTGTACAGATATTACATTTGTGATACAGATATACGGATTACTGGTGATAAAAAAACTTACTAGTTTATAAATGTTAGTTTTATTAATATTTAATTCTGTAACTTTTTCAGTATTTGGTATGCTGTTAGGAGACACCATCATTTTGGATAATCTTGATGCAGCCAATCATTACAGAAAAGAGGTATGTATTTAATTTCCCTGTAATTCTGTAGGTCCAATTCTAATTATTTTTACATTTTAATATAGAGCCAGAAAACCAGGTGTGGTGTCACACGCATGTAATCTCAACACTTGGGAGGCTGGGGCAGGAGGATCATTGCATATTTGAGACCAGCCTGGGTTACAAAGTGAGATCAAGTCAGCCTGAACTGTATATCGAGACCCTGTCTCAAAAAGACTCAAAAAATATATATATATATATTGAGAGAGAGAGGGAGAGAGAGGAAGAGCCAGATACAGAAATACTGTGTGATGATGCAGATGCAGATAGTCGACTAAGATGCCTTTAAATCTTGTAAATTGATTAGCAACTTAAAACAGGTAAGTACCTATGAATGAATTGGCCAAGGTGCAAATTAAATTGCCCAAGCTGGGCTTGAAGTTGCAATCCTCTCACTTCAGCCTCCAAAGCACTGGGATTACAGGCCCAGCACCAGCACGCCCGGCGAACGGTGTCTTAATAGCGACAGTATTAGAAAAGGGCTACTGCCAGGTAGTGTTGGTGGAAATACAGTTTGATATGGCCCATTTGCATCACTTTGCTTGGCCTGCCAGAATAAAATGTCGCGGGTTGGGAGGCTTCAATCATAGAAGCCGATTGTCTCACAGGTCTGGGCTGAAAGTCCACGTGTGGGGCGTCAGCAGGGTTAGTTTCTCCTCAGAAAGCTGAGTGAAGGGTCTGTCGCAGGCCTCTCCCTGCCTTCTGGATAGCTGTCCTCCCTGTGGCTCTTCACGTGCATGTGTGACTGTGTCTCCGTGTCCCCCTTGTGATAGAGTCCCAGTCACACTCGATGACGTCTGTGAATGCTAGCACTAAGTAAGGTCACTTGCGGAGGTCCCAGGGCTTAGGACTGCTCCATAAGGATTTGAGGGAGTGTCATTCAGCTCATGGTGCCTTAGGAGGGGAGTTTGTAACAGAAGTATTTCAGTTATTAGCGGACTTTGCAGAGGATAGTGGCTTTAAACAGTAACAGCTTATTAGTCCTCAGGGCCTGGCTGGCCCGTCGTTCTTGGGAAGGGGACACACAGCCGGCACCTGGTGCTGGTCGCCGCCTAGCCACTCAGCTGGCACAGCACAGGGGCTCGGGAGCCTGTCTGCTGGGGTTTTATTCTCACCCACAGGGTGAGTGAGGGTAATGCCATTTAGGGTTTTAGAAGTCCTAGCAGGCGAGTGATACATATACCTGATTTGTCGGGAGACTGCAGCAGAACAGACCAGCGTAGGCAATGTAGCAACACCTTGTCACCAAAAAAAAAAAGCATAGTTGAGAAGTTGTGCCCGGTGAACCTTGTCAGGTCATGCAGATTGAGGGACTCTGTTCATCAGGATCAGCCCTCACGCTCTGAGGAGGCGGGGCCCAGCTGGAGGGGCGGGCATTGGGGATCCCTTTCCATGGTGCTATGCCCTCCTCTCCTGCATCAGGAACTAAGCAGTTTGGGTCCATTATGGACCAAACCCTCTGGGACCAGGAGGCCTGTGTGTCCTCTGCGAAGCTGTGGGTGTCCGCTGCTTTGTATCAGGGATGGGAGAGCTGAGTAACACAGCAGTGCCTAGAGGCCAAGTACCCAAACTGCAACCCAGACCCACTTATTTATTGCAACGCCGTGCTGTTATCCAGTGCCCACTGCTAGGGTACTGCTGGAGGGACTTGGCTCAGGGGCGGACAGAGAGGGTTCTGGGTGCCCTCTGCAGCACGAGTGCCATAGTTTTGCCACCACTGCTTTAGATCAAGTGCTATGCTTGACTTGATTTTGACCCCAAAACCACATTACTGGTGCAATACTGGGTGCTTACCTTAGCCCTAAGGCTAACCATTTTGTATTCAGGAACATTCTGTTGGCATACAGGTAGAGGATGGAAACAGTTTTTATTTTCTGACCCTTGAAGTTTCAGATTAGAAATATTCCTCAAGTTCTAAGTTATTCTGCAGAACAAGTTGGTTCTTACTTCATCATCCCTGTGCTGGCTGAGAGCACACTGGTGGCTGGCTAGGCACCAAGCCAGGACTCGAGCCAGGCTTTCTGTGCTCACCTGTATGCTGTTGCTCACCTTGTGATTGTCTGGACTTTCTCCCCAGCATGACGTCTGGGTTTCCAGAACCAGTGTCCCCAGCAGTGAAGGCAAGAGCTGCGTGTCTCCTAGGTCACAGCCTAAGAAAATGTAGAGCCTATGCAGTTAGTCTGGCATTGCCAGAGTCTGGGCCCACGGACGGGCAGGACGTGGCAGAGAGGTGGGCACAGACTCCTTTCCAGGGAAGAATAGCCACGAACTAATGGCGGTCTTCAAACTACCCACGGTTTAAAATAACCCTAGAGACCTGCTCTGGCAGATGTCCCCAAGAATCACGCAAGGGTGTGGCTAGATGTGACTGTGGTAGTGCACACCTGTCATCCCAGCTGCTGGGGCGGCAAAGACAGGAGAATCACAACTTCGAGGCGTCCTGAACAAGTTCTTGAGATCCTGTCTCAAAACAAAAAGGGCTGGGGATGTAGCTCGGTGGTAGAGGCACACACAAGCACAGGCCCTGGCTTAATTTCTAGTACTTCCTACCCTGCAACAGAAGAACAGTCACTAGGATGTGAGAACTTGATTGTAGAACACTTTTGGGCGACACACACCTGTAACCCCAGCCCTCTGGGGGCTGAGACCCGCAGTTTGGAGCCCCACCTGGACCACTTAGCAAGACCTTGTTGAAACATAGGAAGCTGGGGAGGCAGCTCAGTGCAGAGGCCTCGGTTCAGTTCATAGTCCTGGAGAAAAGGGGGACAGGGCTGAATGTCCATCAGCTGCTCACTTCAGTCATGGTGTGCGATGTGGCCGCTAGAAAGAACAGGACAGGTATAAAGCATGGTAAAGAACAGGTATAAACCACAGTAACACAGAGTATTTCATGGAAAAGTTGCAAAATGCTGTGTAGGATAAGTGACTTCACAGACTTTAAAAGAAGATGTGTTGTGTACTGCTGGACATTCCAGAGGAGTTTCACTTCTTCCTACTTCATATGTTACTTATTTAAAAAGGAGACCTGAGACTGTAGAGTGAGTGCCTAGGATTCCTGTCCCTCTCTCTTCTGTCCTGTTGGCCAGGCCTCCAGTTTCACTTTTTCCGTGTGTGGTATCACTGTTCTAGTTGAAGCTCACACTTGAAAACTAGTGTGATCCACCTCCCGCTCTCTGGGTTTCTCCTGCTTTATTTTAGCCTGTTAGCTTGTTAGTAACAGGAGCTTATTAAGTTTGTGAGAATACTGCCATGATCGTGCCATTCCTCCTCTCAGAAGCCTTAAATGATTGCTGTTTTTGAAAGGCAATTAAAATAAGCTGCTCACTCACGAATACCCTTCTCACGTAGGTGGTTAAGATTACACACTGTCCCACACTGCTGACCCGGGATGGAGACCGCATTAGAAGTAATGGGAAGTTCGGGGGCCTGCAGAATAAAGCTCCTCCGATGGACAAGCTCCGGGGAATGGTGTTTGGAGCCCCAGTTCCCAAGCAGTGCCGGATCTTGGGGGAACAGATAGGTAAGTTGAATAAGTACCTGAGTAACTGCCTTTTACCTGTTGTCTCAGCTGCGTAGGAGACTGAAGCAGTGCGATCCTTTGAGCTTATGAGATCAAGACCATCCTGGGGAACATAATGAGGACTCATCTTTTTAAAAAGAAAAGGAAAAGAACAAGAACTGATCTGTTATATTAAGAAATAGGATTTCAATCCTTGAGTACCTGAATTTTTGTGGACTTTTCTATAAGGGTAACGTAGCTCTGACGTTCTGGTTTGGACATTGATTTTTGTGGCTCGTTCGTGTGTAGAATCGTTATTATTGTGTGTACTTAGAACACACGGATTGAATGTGGAATTAGAAGCATCACCAGGGCAGGAAACCAGTCTTTTGATCTAGACTTCTTTTTCCTGAGCCCATTTAAAAAAGCAACGATAAGGACCTTGTCAGGAGCGAGTGTCACACAGAGAATGTGTGTTTAAGAGTGACCAGGCAGTTTGAGCACCTCTACCCGCGGGTCTTGATGAGATGCTCAGCCTGATGCTCTGCATCTGGAGAACTCCAGAATCGAAGCATTTCGGACGAGGGAGGCTCGGCCTGCGATCAGGTGCGCAGAGGTGGTGCACAAGCACACGTGTGGCGTGCTTGTTCCCCCCACGTGTATGTCCTCAGAATGTTCTTGACCCTTGAAGTATAACATACCTCACTCTATTTGGCGTATTTTGTGCTCTTACCAAATAATTTCCTCCAAATAGTTTCTTCCATGGTTTTATGAGTGTTTTGAATGTTAAATATTTTACCACGTGTAGTTCTGAAAGTTCCGTGGTGAAGGTGAGAGTAGAGTCTGATAGAAATGGCGACTCCCCCGTCCTCCTCCCTCGTGCTTCCCGTGTTCATTAGAGAGCACACCGCCGCCAGTCCTCGCGTGGGAAGCAGTGGTTCCCACGCACACTGTTCACAGGCCTCTTCCGTTGTCCCCCTCTGCTCCTCCTCTAGCTGTGTGGGATTACTTGGACCCTTTTTATGAGGCGGGATATACACTGTGAGAGAGTGATCCAGTGACCAAGCACTTCTATTAGAAAATCCTGTCATGACACAGAAATAGTGAGTCAAACCATCCGGAAGATTAAAATGGACAGCTTTCTGCTGTCTCAGCTCTACTTGTATCTTGTTTTTTTACACGGAACACTGTGTGGCTTTAAAGCGGTTCCCAGGATGAGGCGTAGCGCAGTGGTGGAGTACTTACCTAGCCCTGGTGCGATCCCAGCGTTGAGAAAGAAGGGGGAAAGTAGTTCGCGCGTGTTACCTGCAGGTAGCGCTCGGTGTTCAGTCTTCTTCCTAGAGCTCGGTGAGGTGTGGCGCCAGGGCTCTGACCTGGTGTTGGTTCCTCCGCAGATCTCCTGCAGCAGTACCGCACTGCCGTGTGCAAGCTGGGCAGCGTGAACGAGGACCTCAACGGGCAGCTGCAGTACCTCCACACGCCCGACATGAAGAAGAAGCAGCAGGAGCTGGATGAGCAGGAGAAGAGCCTGAGACGCATAGAGCAGAAACTGGGTACTTCACTTACATTTGCTCAGGTGCCTTTTCTTTGTGTAGAGGTAAAATATTTAAGAGTAAAAAGGCCAGCTATAAAAAGAGCGAAGCAAGGAACAGTAGCACACCCTTGGAGCTCCAGCACTTGGGAGGCTGAGGCAGGCGGATCACCAAGAGTTCGAGGCCAGCCTGCACTACATAGCAAGACCCTACCTCAAAAACCCAAACCAAAAGAAGAAGAACAAGAAGAAATGTGTAAATGGTCTGGAACTTAAAATGGACGAGAAACCCTTGACTAACACTGAGTCATCTGGTAAATGGTAGTGCGCTGTTCTCTAGCCTGGGGTGGTGACAGGCACGCTCAGAATTACTCTTGAGTTCCTCTTTATAAACTAAGGTCCTTTTCTGGTTTCTTTTCTTCCATATAATATTGCCGTTACGGAGGTTAATTTTCTGCGTTCTCTCTCTCTGTAGGTATGACTCCCACACGCAAGTGTAACGAGTCGCTGCGTCATTCGACAAAGGTTGAGATGACAGAATGTCCAATTCCTCCTAAAAGAATGAGAAGAGAAGCCACCAGGCAAAACAGGTGAGTGTGCTCTGAACTGAGAATTATTACTGAGTAGCTCATCAGTGGAGCACAGCCAAAAGGCCAAGAAGCAGTGGTGCTTGGTTTATCAAAGCTCCTGGGCCATCGGACTTCAAAAACTGGATAATGTGTAGTGCCCCTGGCTCGAGAGGCTGAGGCAGGAGCATCACAAGTTTGAGACCATTCTAGGCAGCTTAATAAGACCCTAAAGCTAAAAAGGGCTGAGAATATCTCAGGACAAAGGCCTTGCGTTCAGTTCCAGTACAGTAAGTCCCCGAGTTACAGACGCGCTGCATTCTGGCAGAGCACTCAGAATTCAGATCCATAAATGCGACGTCATGAGGCTGACACAGTGTCTTCACTTGGTTTGCATGTTATCGTTCTGCGCTTCCTAGCAGCGCCTCCGCATCAGCACAGCTTTTCCTCCCGTTTCTGGGCGCCCTGGGTGCTGGCAGCGCTGCACTGCTGTACCCGTCACGCTGAGCGATGAGCACACGGCAGCGCAGCGGGACCGTGTCTCTGGCAGAGGCGCAAGCTGCCTGCCGCCGTGTGCACGTCTGTTAAAGTTCAAAACGCGGGTGTTCAGAAGTCGGAGGCTTACTGTGCCAGAGAGACACCAAAAACATGCATAAATTGCTGATTTCCCCCTTGAGCCATAACTGGGATCTTTAAAACAAGAAAGACCCAAGCAGTGATGAGGCGCAGTAGGACAGCCAGTTTCCCGAGTGACTTTCGTCACAAGGAATAAAAGGACCAGGGTGGGGCCGCTGTGTTTGCCGTCCCCCGGTGGCCGCCCTCACGCTGGAGGGCGCACTTCTTTTCCTACTTTACCTGGCCGAAATTCTCTCCAGAGCCTGTTTCTTTCCTTGCCCTTTAATAAAACTTCGCTAAGAAAGAAAAAAAGATGTAATGTGTGTGTGTACCAGTTCCCCATATGATGTATATACTTACTAAGCATTATAAACACACACTGATAAAAAATTTTTAACTCTTACCCTATTCCCAAGAGTAAAATATAATTTTACTTTTTTTTTTTTTTTTGAGATAGGCTGTGTCCTTCAGGTTAACTTTGAACTCGCTGTAGCATAGGCCAGCCTTGACCTTGCAGTGATCTTCTTGCCTCAGCCTCTGAGTGCTGGGAGTATGGGTGTGAGCCACCATGCCCAGCTGTAATTTCTCTTTATAGTGACTTTCGCTTAAATATATTACACTTGGCTTCATAGGGTCAGCGGTTTGATAGACATAGAATATGCAAAATCACTTGTGTATGACTTAAAATTCTCTTATAATATTTGATTTGGAGAACCAGGTACCACTTGGATAGCTCACTAAAAACTTTAGAAGCCAAGTATGAAGAAAAAGAAGCCAAATACGGTGGCACACTAGTAATAGTAATCCTAGCCCTTGGGAGGCTGAGGCATGAAGCCTGAAAGGTCAGGACCAGCTTGGACTAGGAGTGAGACCCTTCTGTCCAGAAAAGAAACAGAAGAGAAGGCTTTTGCAGTCCGACTCGATGAGAACTGCCCCTTCTGGGCTGGCATCAGCAAGGGCCCCTACCGCAGGACGCCGGTTACTCGGGAAGGGCGGACAGAGCCCCCTTCATCCGGGTCGCCGCGGTGCGGTGCCCCCGCTCCCTGGGGCCGGGCCGGGCGGTCTCCGCGCCGTGGCCGTGGC